AAGTTCTCTAACTGCAAATATAGTGAACATTATTGCCTAAATTTCTTGAACTAAGTAATAAACTTGGGTATGAAATGCATTTTGAAATTATACTCTATGGAAGTAATTTCAAAAAACAGATTTAAAGTGGGTTAAATGATAAAAGTTTATGACAAATAACAGATACAGGCACATAGCTACCAGTATAAATATTGAAAGTGAGAATTGAAAGGAATAGTAAGCTCTGTGATCTTTCAGAAACATAGGCCACTGGGCCATGAAAGTTACCTAAACACATCAGGATCTCTCAGGCCTTCATCTATAAGTCGCCTCACTCAATCATCAGCATATTTGTTCGACCTACCACAAGAAATTAACACTTGCAGACAGCATGGTTAAGTAAGTACTTAGGGCTTTGGAATATGTCATATTTAAAGTTAAATCCTAAATTTATAACATTCTAAAAGAAGGACCTAGAAAAAGTAAAATGGAGAATGTCACCGTTTTTGTTGCTGTTATTAGGTGCCGTCAAGCTGAGTACGACTCATAATGACCCCTCGAACAAAAGATCTAAATTCGGTTTTATCCCACACCATCCTCACACTTCCTCATATACAAGAGCCCACTGCTGCAGTCAACATGTCAGTCCACCTGGTCGATAATCTTCCTCTCCTTTGCTGATCCTACACCCTTCCCAGAATCATATCCTTCTCCAAGAAATAGCCCCTCCTAGCAATATGACCCACGTATGTGAGGCAAAGCCTCATCAAAGCCTCATCATTCTTGCCTAAAAAGAGCATTCTGGTGGCACCCTCTCTAAGACATATTTGTTTTCTTGGCCCTCCATGGGATGTTCAGTGTTCTTTTCCAACACCACAGCTCAAAGGCTTCAATTCTTTTTCTGTCATCCTTATTCATTGTCCAGCTCACAGATGCATACTACCTAGTGTTAAGGAAATATAGTGCCTCAAAAAGTGAAATGGGGAAGGAATTACTCAAACATAACAAAAAACCCTGAAATATTTTAGCACCATGAAAGAATCCAAAGGAAAGAAAACTTACAGAGCACTGAATTGGCTGGCAGAAGCCCTAGATTTCAGATCTGGCTCGGTACAGGCCAGTTCCATGTTTTGTGGGGTGTATTATTTCATGTATCTGGGTTCTGGTTATCTAGTAGAGCCATCTATCTAAGATTTATAGAACAGGAGAGTGAAGATCCATTCCTGTAACACATCATGATTAAATTACATACCATTTATATTTCCTCTCATTGCCAGAGTCAAAATTAGCTACCTTCATAGTTGATCCTCCATCAGTCTCTCAAAGCTGTAAATTGCAAGGGAGGATTGCAACAATGAATGAATGAAAATCTAACTTTTCTGTAAACTTCTGTTACAATGACAATTAAAATAAAAAATTTTATTTAAAAAAAAATTGCAAGGGAGGAGACTGTCCAATCCTTCTCAGAATGACTGGTCGATTCAAACTATCAGGGAGATGTGGCCTTATCATAAAAAAATAAACTAAGGATGGTATTTTCTGTCACAGGTAAACTCGTGAGAGTGAAAATGTTTCAAAGAAAAACATTCTTTATGCTAAAATGAGCAAGATAAAAGTGGTATCCTGTTATAAAAGGTGGGTAATGCATGAGACCTGGAAAAACAAGGCAGCCCTGTTGAGCTCCAGCTATTAAAATTTCACCACTCTTCCAAAGTGTCAGAGGTTTTTATTTAAATACTTGCTTTTTACACCTTTAGATCCTGATCATTTTTTCATTATGACTGAGTTATCAGTTTTAATACGAAAGTTTCCTTCAGTAACCTGCCCAAAGTCAGACTGCTAAAGAGTGACACAGAGAACTAGACCCATCTCAAGGAGTTCCCATGATGTAAGTAGTAAAAAACTGCAATTCTAACCGAAAAGGCCATGTATTTCTGTGGTTCAAATCCACAAATTGCTCCAAAAGAGAAAGATGGACATCTCTGTGATGTGATTTACAGTCTCAAAAATCTACTGGAGGGTCAGCTATGAGTCATTTCTGGTTCAACGGCAATGAGAGAGATAGGTCTCAAACCAAAGATCAAATGCCCTGATATATTCCTTTCTCTGGTAACTAGTTGCTTTCATTTGCAACATGTGTGGAAGTCATCAAGAGTGTATGAACTGTCAGGTTACCCAAGTCAGGGTGACTTGCTTCAAATGATGGCAAATGTGTTTCTAAGTACGGTCATCAATTTAAAAAGTGTGTGGCAATGTGTTTAAACTTCTGTACAGTACTTTAACCATGTTAATCAACCAGTTATTTCAGCTACATTAAAAGATGCTGGACAAAAATGAAATCCAAAATTATAAAGGAAAACTATTCTTTTTAATGCAAAAAAGTTAATTATAAGTCAATGGAGATAGTTCATTTAACCTTAATTTAAAGTACCAAAGTTAGAGAGTTGTTGATGAGCACGACTCACAGCGACTCTATAAACAAAAGGACTGAAGCCTTTCTATACTCTCGTTATTTATCAAAGTTCATTATATAGGACATCCATTAAAATGACTGCTGGATTATCCCTTTCTTTTATCCAAATACAATAATAATTAAGAACACTGGTTATACATATTAGTGAATGGAGAAGCAACATACAATCCAAAACTCAGATATTTGGGAAATAGTTTATACAGAGAATCCGCAGTAATGAATAGTTGGGGTTAAAATTAAAGTTTATAATAATCTGAATACATATACCTAATTATTGTTTAGGGAGCTCTGGTAGTATAGTTCCTAGGCAGTTGTGGTAACCCAGAGGTGACATGCCTCTCTGGGGTTTTGAATCTACTAGCAGCTCCACTGGAGAAAGATGGATGATTTGTAGTCTCCAAAACCCCACTAGAGTCAGCACCAACCCAAAAGCAAAATGCAAGGTTAATTTTTAAGTGTTAATATAGTCCAGGACAAATGATTTTTTAATCAAGACAATGAATAATGAAATCACCACCTCCTTACTTCAAGCAGAAAACATAATGTAAAACCAAAGAAACACATTCCCCTATCAGTTTCACAAATAATAGTAAAACTGTTAAGTATCACTGAGTGGAAATCAACTCATAGATGACCTTCCAGCAGGTTTTCAGAAGCAGAAAATTGCACAGAAAGAGGTTGCCCATTTTTCTTCCACAAAGCAATAGGTGACTTCAAACCATCTGCCTTTTGGGTTAGCAGCGTTACCTCCTTACCTAAACCACCTGGCCTCCTTGTAGTAAAACTAAGATATAGGGGAAAAAAAAAAGAGTAACTTAATTAAACCAGGCTAGTTCCTTGTTCCATTACATCAGCCCAGGATTTGAAAATTTAGTCAATCAATAAATGGATCATCATAAGGTAAACATATTCACATATGTATGAACTCACTTTTTTTTTTTTTAATTTATTTTATTATTTTTGTGTGAGTGTACGGTCAAATCAGATCTGACTGGTACAGGAGGAGATTGTCCCTCCTTCCCCGGCAGAGCATCTGGTGGATTCGAACCGTGCGCCTCTGGGATTGTAGTTGCAGCTCCTTACCACTAGGCCACCAGCGCTCCCCTTGAACTCACTTTTAAATGTCCTGGTCATTAAGCACATTACCAAATATAAAATTCCTTTAGAAGACAGAAATGAGTAGATGTGGCCTTACAAGGAAGAAAAAAATAACCCAACCTATTATTTTAGTTCTATTAAAAATCATCATATATTGTCTTCAAACATTTGGTGTCCCTCACACACACACACACACACAACGTGTGTACGTGTGTGTGTGTGTGTGTGTGTGTGTGTGTCTGTGTCGCTCTTTCCCTCTGTCTCACTTTTCTGGTGTTATTCATTTAGGTAACCTAGGAAGGCCTTTGAAATGCATTTTGATTAGCAAAGCACAAAACTAAACTGCATAAAACAAAATCAGAAAAGAATGCAAAGAAAATAAACATTAAGTAAATGTAATACAATTAAGAATTTGATGGAAGTTTTTTTTCTGAACACAAATTATCACAAAGCAAATTTCCATGATCATTTCCCATTAAAGTTAGCACAACTTCTTTGGAGAAAACAAATAGAAGTTCAACTAGACTATGACCAACTTTTGTACTTCCCACAACAGCAGTAAACCACCCTATATGCATCCTGCTGATAAAACTGAACACATTCCACTTAACATCCCCAAACAAAAATCATCTACAGTATTACTTAACAGCTCAAGAACTTGCCCACCACTCTGTGACTGCCACTCCAGAGGTAAATGCATTCACTGTGAAGTTAAGAGCAGACGCTGTAACGATGCTGCCTATACAGACACAGCCGACTCCTGACTAAGAAAGATGGTGAGCCCAAGAGATAGCATCATGTCCTCCTCTATGAAAGGGAATGTCTGAGTTGACAGAACTCAAAGTAAATACAGAAAATTCATTCAAGAAGGTAAGATGCTGGGAAACAGGTATTGGAAACAGACCAAATAAAAAAGCAACAAAATAAAAACCCCACTGCCCTCGAATTGATCTGCAATCACTGACCCCAAACACAGGACAGAGGAGAACTGCACCAAGAGGATTTCCGAAGGCTTTCCTGCAAACCTTTAAAGATGCTAACTGCTGCAAATTTCTCTCTAGATGCTGGTGGGTTTGAACCACCAACCTTTTGCTTAGCAGGTGGATGTAAGTTAAGATGCCGGGAAGTACTGAAAACAGACCAGTGTTCATGAATAGACTGTTAATGATCTACCAGCGCCGGGTGGGTGGTTCAAACAAGAGAAGACTGTCCCCTTCTAGAGCTGTGTGGCCCTGGAGGGCTCTGCTTCCTCCACTAACCCTTTCCTGCAGGCCTGGCGTTCAAAAGGACAAGCTCCCCTCCTCGTGGGAAAGCGATCCTCCCAGGCCGCACCGAGGCCATGTGGCTGGGGCAGGAGGGTGGCCGAAGCCAGCGCCCGTTCAAGACACCAAACTAGAGAGGAGGTGCCGGAGGCAATCCAAAGGACGGGATGTTGGGGTACAAGACTCACTTCCTCTGGGCTTTGTCCTTCTTGGCCTTGGTCCTTTTCTTTCGGGCCTGGAGCGCAAGCACTGCAGGAGAGAGGGATTGATGAAGTGCGGATGTGGAAGGAAGGAGGCGACCAAGGTGAGGGTGGAGACCTAGTAGGGTGCCAGGGCTGGGTGCGGGGCCGGCCTCGGGGGCGGCTGCAGGGCGAACGCCGCGGTTTCCGCGAGGCGGGCGGCAGAGGGGCGTTCGGCCCACGGGGCGACGAGCAGCGACCAGGCGGAATGCGCCGGAGGGGGCTCGGGCCGGGTAAAGGGGACGGCAGGCGTGGGTCTCCTTCGTCCGCCCAGAGTCGAGCTTTGCAGTGGCCGCAGGCTTTGGCTGGCCCGCTGGGGAACAAGGGGAGGTGACGGCCGGCGCGGGAGGTCGCCCTGGATAAGGGGCGCGGACCAGAAGCCCCGCGGCGGGGGGCGAGGGGCGTCGCCACCTCAGTGGAGGGGCGCCGCATGCCCAGAGTGGACTACAGAGAGCAGGCAAAGCTCCTGGCGCTAACCTGGGCCTCGCCCCGGAGGCCGTTGCCCCTCGTGGCGGAGGCCGCACCACTGCTCACCTTTCCGCTCCATGGTGAGACCGGTAACCGCCAGGCGCCTGCGCACTCGTGTGGCGAAGGCTCCGGCTCCCGCCGTGGCCCAAAATCTAGTCCGCACACACTCCGCCCCTAGTCCCGCCCCAAGCCCCGCCCCCGCTGCATGATACCGCACGCCTGCGCATTGAGCGCGGATTCTACCACCTGCTCCCGAGGATGGGGGAGCGGCCAGCAGAGAGTGGACGAGGCAGGAGAAAAAGAAACTTTAGATCTGGAATCTAAAGAGATGTTGGCAGTCCAAGATTGAAAGCTGGCCAGAGTCAGTTTCTTTTGCTTACCAGAAAAAGTCCCTTAGGAAGACGCAGGGGAGCGAGATCTTGAGTTTCCCTGCGTGCTAAACCAGAACCCCGCAGACAACTAACAGCTACCTCAGTTTTCTGACCTGTACAATGGTGTTAATCAGGCGTGTTCCAGTTCCTTTGCCTGATCTATTCGAATCCACCAGCTGCTCCGCGGGAGAAAGATGGACAGTCTCCTGCCCTGCGATTTACAGTCTTTGAGAACCCGCCTGAGGGTTACCTATGAGTCGGTTCCAGTCTGGTACACAACCACAACCTAAAAAAATGTCAGTTTTTGCCTCCATTTTTTTTTAGGAAGGTGAAGGAAAGATGGCATGTGAAAAAGAAAAGGTGTGGGAGCAACGGAAAAGACTAAAAGAAATGCACGTGTGACTCAGTGAAAACATTATAAATGAATTTTTTGTTAAATTTTACAGTTTAAGTGGACTCTATTAAAGAAATAAAGGCAATGGGTTAACAGAAATGTTCCCTATTTTCTCATCATTTTCCTACTTTTTATATTTCCGGTATACTTAAATTTTTTTTCATCTGTAGTGTGCTTTAAACTTTCCCAAAAGCATTGTCTCCTTTAATGTTCATGACAATGTGTAAGGCAAGAAACTTATTAATACCACTCACTAAGAAACTAATGATTGGAATCTTAGTATGCTGACCATATGACTCAATCATCAAACTCTAATTATAAAACCAGTGGACAGTTTTTCTGTAAAGGACATATATACGTAGGTCCGATTAAGGTATGTGAAAGACCTAACTGGTAATCTATAGTGCCCCCCTTTTTTTTGTTTACTGATGCAGCTGAACTAGGATATGTTAGTTATACACAGGTGTGTCTTAGATATCCATGATGTGACATCCTTTTATTTCTTTTTTTCATGATTATGAGCTTTATTAGGCAAAGTTACCATTCAGGATCAAAAACAACTCCAGATACAGTGATTTGATCAGGCTAGATTTTCAGTCAAAGATAGATTCTTCTTAGCTGTATCTGCAGGTCGTTTTTCTCTGTGACCTGTAGCCCCTCCATCTGGTCTCAGTCCTGCTTTGGGTAAGTTTCACAAAGCTCTTTTATCTCTCTGCTTATCAGTGTCTACTCTGACTCTTCACCAAAGGTCCCCACATCTCTCACTGCTTGGACTGGTCGTCAAAAACCTGGTGATACCTCACTCCACCACCAAACCTTCCCAAAGACACATATTTTCTTGCATCATAGGCAGGGAAGTCTATTACCTTATACCGTTCTCTTGCTTCTGCTGCCTCTGCTTCCACCATTTCGCTACTGCTGCTGTTTCTCACCATCTCTTACCATTTTTGATGTACAGCCCCTGGTCTAGGAGCTTTCCAGTGCAGAGATTTTTCCTCTCTGAAAAACATTCCTGTCTCTTCTTGCTATTAATCAGATCCTTCTGTGGCTTCTTTCCTTGTAGGACTATATTTTAGCAATTAAATGCAAAAGTGGCATATGCCACTTTTTTTTAGTTGAATGAGATTATCTAGATCATAAAACTTTAATAAACACACAGAGATTTGTACAATGTTACAGGATAGAACAAAGTTGAGATCTGTTGTTCATATGGTCACTATGAGTTGTTCTCAATTTGATGACACCTAACAACAACAACCCTTTTCCCATAAAAGGGGTGTTCACAAACTCTTAAACAAAGAAGATGATTATGTGAATTTAGTTGTTCAATAATCTGGGTAAACTTCTCTTAATCTCTCATGACAAAACATTGATTTTCACCAATTTTGCTTTCAATGGCTACTACTTCAGTTTTTATGTTTTTCCATCAAAATGCTATAATTATAAATGAACTTGTTGTTGTTGTTGTTATGTGCCGTCGAGTTGTTTGCAACTCATAGTGACCCTATGTACAACAGCCCTAAAACATGCTCTATCTATCCTGTATAAATGAACTAATGAGTAATATTAGCAATATGCCCCAGACAACAGACAATAAAAAACCCTTTGATATATAAAACTTTTATGTTAAGTAAATATTATTATTTTCAGTATTTTAATGTTTGTTATGTTACTATCTTATTAAATTATTAGCCATGTTAGTACTATATTAAATATATGGTATATTATGTACACTAAACCATCCCAGGAAGTAGAATATGACGAAGAATCATTGGTACTGAAAGAAGAAATCTAAGCTGCGCTGAAAAGATTGGCAAAAAGATAAGGCTCCAGGAATTGTGAGAGTATCAGTTGAGGTGTAGCCCCGGAAATGCTCAGCAGCCCTGGATATGCTCAAGCAGCTCCAGTTATGCTCAGCTCTCTATACCAAACAATTTGGAAGGTCACTACCTACCAGACAACTGAGTGAGACCTTATCTCTGCCCATTCCGGGTAAAGGTTATCCAAAAGAATGTAGAGGAAA